CAGTTTGTTGTTGTCCCCTACTTCAGTGAATTTATGCATGTGGATGAGCACATATTTATAAATTTATATTTGAAGTTTCCCCAATGTGTTCTCGTGAAATGTTTATGCTGCATTGAGAGCCAAAAAGACAAAGTAGTTCACAAATAAACAAGTTATGTGTTGCATATATGGTTTGAAATTGGTATTTTATAACGTTACACTATATTACTGCTGTCTGAAGATAAACATTTTTCATTTTTTGACATAATTTGAAAAAGCCTGTTCTCCTTTACATTGTTTGTAAATGTCATGAAGAATGGACCAAAGAAACGGCCCAAAAGGACTTGGAAAAATGTCCATTGACTTACATTAAAAGTAAAGTAGGTTTTTTCCTTTTCCTGTAAAGTTACCATTTTGGAGATCAAGGTTTTCTTCTGACAACAGCGATATGTTTTGTACTAAAAGCGCTTAAAAATATAGCCGTAAAAGGAAAATAAGAATTTTGGTGGACAAGGGAGGAAAGCTTGAGTGATTGTACTTGGTTTAAAGTTTATTTTGGGAGATCTGTTCTTAATTATTACTGTTACTCACTTACATTACACCCCTAAATACATATGTGTGTATATATATATATATATATATATATATATATATATGCACGTAAGTCCTTGCACATTTTAACTTTTGTTTAAATCCACAGCATTACATGATGTAAAATGTAAAACATTTATTAAACTTATCAAAGTTTTCAGGACACAATCTCCAAAATGGTATCTTTACAAGAAAAGTAGTACAGGAAAAATGAACAGGTTTAAATGAACAAATAGCAAATCTTTGGTGCAAAAATCTTAGGTAGTGACAAATAATTCAATGTGGAATATTGGCAATGGTAATTTATACCATCGGGAAGAAAAACAAACAAGAAATATGAAAGCGACAGTAGGCTGTGTCAGCATGACTGGTGAAGTGTAAAATGTATATTAAGGCCACAGGCTTAGAAACACATGCAAAATTAGATCACCGCAGAAATGAAAAGATTTTTCTGTGGTCCCTTGACATTGAAATGAATTGATTGAAAGCTGATGCTAATGTAGCTAATGTAGCAGCTTACAATTGCATTCATAAGTTTACATACACTTAGGTTGAAGTCATTGAAACTCATATTAACACACACACACACACACACACACACACACACATTCCATTTGGACAAACTATAGTTTTAGCACGTTTTTAGGATATCTACTTTGTATAGGACACAAACAATTTTTCCAACAAATGTTTACAAACAAATTATATTACTTAGCATGCACTATATCAAAATTGCAGTGGGTCAGAAGTTTACATACACCAAGCTGACTGTGCCTTTAAATAGCTTGGAAAATTCCAGTAAATGATATGATGGCTTTAGGAGCTTCTGATAGGCTGATTGACATCATTTGAGTTAATTGGAGGTGCACCTGTGGCAGTATTTTAAGGCTTTGTGCTTGACATCATGGAAAAATCAAAAGAAATCAGCTAAGACATCACTGTGGGCCTCCATATGTCTGGTAGATCCTTGGAAGCAATTTCCAAATGCCTGATGGTAACAAGTTCATCTTTTCAAATGATAATATGCACATTTAAACACCATGGGGACCATGCAGCCATCATATCATTCAGGAAGGAGATGCATTCTGGCTCCTAGAGATGAGCAAACTTTGGTGGGAAAAATACAAATCAATCCAAGAGCAACAGCAAATGATCTTGTGAAGATGCTGGAGGAAACAGGTAAGAAAGTATCTATTTCAACAGCAAAACATGTCCTAAGTCAACATGACCTGGTAGGTCACTCAACAAGGAAAAAGCCACTAATCCAAAACTAACATAAAAAAAGCCCGGTTACAGCTTGCAGCTGCACATGGGGACCAAGATCTTCAAGTTTTTGAAGAAATGCCCTCTGGTCTGATGAAACAAAAAACATTTTTCAGAGTCTCTTCCTCTTACTCTTAGGCAGTTTTCCTTGCCACTGTTGCGCTTGGTGGCACTCACAAGGCCTTGTACCTAGATTTTTTATAAAGCTGCTTTGTGACAACATCCATTGTAAAAAGTGCCTAATAAATAAACATTCGAATTGAATTAAATTGCTACACCGGGGGAGTAAACTGAGTAAAATCCAACAATAAATAAAGCATTTTCAGCAGTTTTTTCATGAAGTCTGTTTTGTAGACCTAACAGTTATACCATAGGTAGTTTTGACTAAACTAAGTTAACTATGCAGAAAATTGACAAGTTGACCTGACTTGTAATTTCTTACAGTGTACAGAAGAACATGTCAGTGGGCGTCTGGACTAGAGGTCTGCACAGGACTTTTTCATTCCACTCCTGCAGAAAATTGGAATCATTTGTCCCACTCCCGCCCGCAACCTAAAGGTTTTGTCCCGTTCCCACCTGCAATCGAAACATTTTGGCCCGCCCATGCAGCTCCATCAAGGATAACTGACATCCAATATCTGACACAGTCTATTCACTAATATATTATCTTCTGCTGAAATAACACAGTCATCAAGTTATCAGGGTCACTATACAGTAATTTCAGCAAGCACCATTTATTCACAGTAAACACAAAGTAGGCATTAAACCACAGAGCGGTTATTTTTGGTGCTTTGATGGGCAGCTGTGGCCATCAGACTGAAGGCTCCATCATCTCTGTAAGCTATGAGAATTTGCATGTTGTTCATGTGATCACCTGCTTCACAGCTCTTTAGAATGACTTCATTCATTTTCACTGTTTTACTGTTATCATTTTATATTGTTTGTATGTATGATTAGTAATCATTCTACTTTATTTAGGCTATTTACTCACTTGCGGGCTTTCTCTGCATGTGTGGTTGGCCCACTCCCGCCTGCAGTGGGCTGGTTTCCCACAACACTGATAATATATATTGTAGAGAGATATTATGGTGGGTCCCACAGGGAGTGCAGACCTTTAGTCTGGATGTTTCCTAGACTGGAAAAAATAAAAAAAATTCCCCATAAATTCTGATATGAAGCAGTGCTTTGCTTGATGGTGCGTCACAGAAGCAGCAGGTTGAGGCTGCAGTGATGGAGTGGAGAGTGAGGGGAACCTTTCAACGTGTATGTGTTGTTAATGAGCAGAGTCTCTTCCAGTCTCACTCTCATTACCCATGAGAAGAGAAACATCAGAGAGGAACAGATTCCCTTTGAGGCTGTTTTTGTACAACCTACACTTCTGCTGTCGGAGGTCTTATTGATGTCTTTACTGTGATTTTCTCAAAAACACGTTAAGGCCCCAGGCTGAAGTGCATTCTTAGTCTTAATCTTTGGCCCAATCCCATTTCTTATTTTTATCCATAGCCCTTGTTTTCGAGTGTCACCTTGGAAATGAGTTACAAGGGGTAGTGGTTGAAATCTCCCCTTACGAAATGGGACCCTTTAATAAAAAAGAGCATCACTTCATTAACAGGCTACTAGCGCTGCTCTGTAGGCGACCCTGCCAGTCTGCAGTGATAACAGAGGAGGGTAAAGTTCAGCAACCTCACTGCCTTCAAAGAGGTGTGATACGACAATTATTTACTATCAACGGCCGTAATTCTTCGGTGATATGAAGTTGAAGTCAGTTATTCACCAGCTTCTTGTTCAAATTTTCCCCTTCCACCTTAAATGGAGCAGCTGCATCATTTACGTTCTTCATAGTCACAAATCCCATTTTCAGACATGATTCTGTAATTATTACAGACACTAATTATTATCAATAGTATTATTCTTTGCACCCACACAAGTCATAAAAATACGTGTGGATCATTCTACAGAAATTGTTCAAAGTCAGAGTTTTGGACTTTTAACTGACTTGGACTTTTGACTAAAATCCTTTTGCTTTGAGTAATTCTATACCTTAATTATGATTATTTTATTAAAACAAATGATTGAACATTTCATTTTGTCACTACCAAAACAATCATAACACTACCGAACTTTACCAATAGTTTCAGTAGTGACTGTTTCAGTAGTGACAATTTTAGGTCAGTTTGAGCAGAACAGAAAAACACTAGCCAGTACATGACTAGCAATCACAGCTTTGAACAACTGTACACACAGAAAATCATAATATTTTTTCATTTAAAACATGTTTATATAATTACAAAAATGTGTGTTTCGCTAGTGACGGTTCATAATCTCACAAACTGAATCTTGCTTTCTGCTCTAAAATGCAGGGGTGTAGCTTAAATAAGGCTCCGCCTATGGACTAAAGCTCTTTGTGTTTCGATAGTGACATAAAAAAATGTGGGACAGATTTTTTTTTTTTTTAATTAAACTTATGATAAACCTAAGAAAATGAAAAAAAAAGCATTTAATAGAGATATTTTTGACAAGTGGACATTTAGGTGTTAGGGTTTTAGGACAGACACCCCCCGGTGGGAAGTACCCCATAAATGATCATTGTCTATATATTTAGCAAATTACTATTCAGTCAACGGTGGGGGGTTTAAATAGAATAATTCATAACATAACGCTTATACATATCTAAGGTCTGACTGAGTGTAATCTAATATCTAAACCAGTAGAATGGTGTATATATATATATATTCAGAGGAATGTAGATTTTATAACCGATTTCACAAATGTAATATCTTCCGATACTGGTGGTCATCCAGACCCCTTTGTCCTGCACACACAGCCTTCCTCTCTGAATTTTTTGTGCCATGTCCAAATCTGCTTTCCAGTTGGTGCATTTTTATTGAATTTTCTGGAAAATGCGCACTGGACACTCTTGTTTGACTGTGTTTGAGCATATTCTAACACACACAATGCCTTTTCATTTCTAGTGAACTCCATTCTTCACCCTGAAAAAAAAAAACATTAAAAATGAAACTTGGTCAGTTTTTACACATTTTGTTAAAATTTGAGATCATTTGAGGGAGAACTGGCTGTTATTAGACTACGAAATGATGTCAATTTTTTTGGGACACCCTGTGTATATAGTGTGAAAATTGTGAAAAAATGACATCTAAAGCCATTTATCTGTTTATCCACACAGTGGCCATTTATTTGTGTACAAAAACACTCACCCCACTATTTACATAAACAAATAAACAATAGTGTGACTTTATATTTGTGTCTTAACTTCACCTTCTGCCAAGCTTTATTTACACTAACAGTGGAATGCAGAAGTTTGAACACCCATTTGTGTTTTTTAACCAAGAAAACTCAAGTTGCTCCACAAATCTTATCTATGCACCCATCGTATCCCAGTAATCACAGCTTACACTTTAATTCAGTGTTATAGTCCACAATAAACTCAAAAACGCTTCAGACAGATGTAACAGCAATGGGCAGAATTTGAACTATGATGCTGAATGAGCTACAAAACTGATCTCTATCACTTCCTGCCCAGGACTGGAGTTTGAGAACCCTGCTGGACATAATCTCGCTCCGTTTGAATGCTATGCATGGCCCTGCCGTGAAAGTGCCTTTGTGTCACAAAGCTGTTTTTTCTGATAAAAGGCCATCATCTCTTTCCTCCCTCTCCCTGATAGAGTCTGATAATTTTGTCATCGTGGAGTTTCTTCCACAGTTTTATCTCCAGGTTGTAGTCGTGGTTGATGAAGAAAATAACTCTAGTCTTTTCCTTCTCGAAGTAGTAATTGGAGTAATTCTTATGGGTCTCGGTGATAAAGCCATATGCATCAACCTGAAATGAGAAAAGACATATTTAAAGAACTATAGACTCAGTTCGTACTGTTGAAAATGCCACTTTATTAGAAACACCCACCTTGTGCTTCCACTCACTGGCCATTTTATTAGAAACACCCACCTTGTGCTTCTACTCACTGGCCACTTTATTAGAAACACCTACCTCATGCTTCCACTCACTGGCCTTTTTTTTTAGAAACACCTGCCTTGTGCTTCTAATTACTGGCCACTTTATTAGAAACACCTAGCTTATGCTTCTACTCACTGGCCATTTTATTAGAAACATCTACTTTATGTTTCCACTTACTGGTCACTTTATAAGAGACAACTACCTTGTGCTTCTACTCACTGGCCGCTTTATTAGAAACACCTACCTCATGCTTCCACTTACTGGCCACTTTATTAGAAACATCTACCGTGTGCTTCCAATTACTGGCCACTTTATTAGAAACACCTACTTTATGTTTCCACTTACTGGTCACTTTATAAGAGACAACTACCTTGTGCTTCTACTCACTGGCCGCTTTATTAGAAACATCTACCGTGTGCTTCCACTCACTGGCCACTTTATTAGAAACTTTCCATTTTATCAGCACCAATTGAACTTAATTGAATTGAACTGAATTAAATTGAACTGAATTGTATTCAATTCAATTACCATACAGTAGTTCTACAATTACAGACTGTAGTCTGTCTGTTTCTCTGCATACTTTGTTAGCCCCCTTTTACCCTGTTCTTCAATGGTCAGCACCCCTACAGGACCACCATAGAGCAAGTATTATTTGGGTGGTGGATCATTCTCAGCACTGCAGTAACACTGACGTGGTGGTGGCGTTTTAGTGTGTGTTGTGCTGGTATGAGTGCATCAGACACAGCAGTGTCTGACAAAGTATGCAGAGAAACAGATGGACTACAGTCTGTAATTGTAGAACTACAAAGTGCACCTATACAGTAAGTAGAGCTGATAAAATGGACAATGAGTGTTGATACAGTGTGAATACTTAAGAACAGCATAAACCTATGAATGCAGTGTACAGTTTGTGTAATATTCTGTCATGATCGGCAGATGAATCATCTAAAATATCACTCAGATGTATCAGACTTTATTTTTACTAAAAGCACATTGATGTTTTGGTCCCACAGCAGCTTTGATGAAGAATATAATATGAATCAAAGAGCTGAAGCGAAGAGTGGGTGTTGTGTCAAAGGTGTTTTCAGTGAATGTATAAAAGGATGAATAAACATTTTCATAGATAACTTGCTTCTCTCAGAATATAAAGTCATTGCAGGACTTTAATTATACTTACAGTATCACAGACGTGAAGGGCCAGGAAAAGGGTGAAGGCTCCATTAGTGGGTCTGTATAAAGCCCAGTGTGTTCCATTCTGTTGCCTAGAGGGCATGAATCTGTGTGAAGTTAGAAGAGTTTTGATGTTGCAAGTTAAAATACATCAACCAGAAAAATAATCTGTATAACGTACATTTACAGCTTGCAAAGTTCTCAGCACAAAATTTATTTTGTATAATAAAAAAAGGAAATTGGCAATTATAATGTATTGTTATACCTTTATTAAGCTTTAATAATAAATAGAGTGAGTTAAACTTTTTCAAGAACACTTTTTTGATAAATTCCATTTGTGTATATAATATTTGCATGGTACTTTGAATATTTGTGATCATGCCCTTATTGAGCCTTAATAGGCCTTTGGAGAGTAATTTACTGCCCTTGTTTACTTTATGAAGAAATAAGTAATTAATAATATAAAACTATTAGTAATTAACTTACTTTATTAATGAATAAGTAGAAATAATTAAGCTTTTTCAAGGGCACTGTTTTTTGTGAATTTCATTTGTGTATTTGTTTATATATTTTTGCATGTTATTAAGGGGTTTATTATTATGCACTTATTAAGCTTTAGTAAGGCAGTAGCTAGTAATTACTACCCTTTACTACTTGATAAAGCAGTAAGTAGTGTGAATTAAGGTTGTTTGATAAACATCTAAAATATTGTGCAAAAAATTGTATGCACAAATAAGAAAAAAAACATTTTTGCACAATATTTTAGATGTTTACACCACTATTAAGCATAAATAAGCCAGTAGCTGGTAATTAACTACTTATTACTACTTTACTACGCATTAGCTAAGATGAATTAAGCTTTTTCCAGAGCTCTTTTATTTGTGAATCTCATTTGAGCATATTTTTGCACAATATTTTAGGTGTTTATACCCCTATTAAGCATATATAAGCCAGTAGCTGGTAATTAACTAAGCCTTATTGAGCCAAAATATGGTAATTAACTGCCAAGTACTACTGTATTAAGTGGGAATTACTCTGATATAAACATTTTTAGAGCACTTTTACAGATTCATTGTACATAACCCTTTCATTTATTGATTTGAAGACATTTAACCATTGTTTTGCTGTGAAAGTGTACTGAGATGCAATCAGAAAGGTTAGATATTAAATATAAACTCTGTTAATAAGCAGTTTATACTGGCCCTATGTTCAAATGATGCTTGTACACCAGACATGTTAAAGGTCTTCACATTAGAATAGAGGATCAGTTTGTCTTTGTTTAGAGCTAATTAGTGATTTATTATTTGCATATTGATAGAAAACAAATGAAAATAAGCACATTATAGATCAAGTGCTTCGGCAATTTTATTATGTATAACATTCAAATAAAAGTGCTATGGAAAAAATGCTTAATTCCTTGTAATTACCTCTTAATAAATTAGTAATAAACAGATAGTCAATCAACAGTTTTTGGCTTGAAGCTGTGATACCAAAGAAACTACACATACGCTTACGCACACATGGCTATGAAAATAAATGGCCTATTCGCTTGTGCGTTCTAATTGAAATGCAAAAGATCACGGGTTGCATCTTTTCTCCCCTCAGGCAATGCAGATGAGCAGCGAGTGGGATGAGGTTCACGAACAAAGCATGCATGGTGGTACTACATGTTCTTTAAAAGTCGCCTGTTTGTCTCCACGGCGGATTTGAATTTCACATTACCTGTTGCGAACGTATCTGAGGAAATCTGGATGGAGGACATAAAACCTGCTCTCATCGAACTCTTTGGGATAGAACATCCGTGGCCTGGAGGAGAGAAAGTGCGTAATCAGACATCAAACACTTTCAAACCATTTTTACAACCATGGTCTTTCCAAGAACTTGGAAGCTCCACTGAACATGAGAGGGGGGCTCAGCCTGTCCATCCATAAAGCTTCCGTTTAGAAATTCAGGTCCACTGTAATAAAAGTAGTAACAACAAACACTTTAGGGTTTTAGCTTATAAAGAATCACGCAAAACATTCCTGTAGCTGAATTACAATGTATTTGGCTGAAAAAGGAGGCCACACTGATTAGTTTGTAGCATATTAAATGGGCAGGGCTGAACTGCTTTAGGCTGAATAGGTGGATATATGTAAATGACTTGTTTTTATGACATCACTAAAACAAAAGCTTAGGTTCCATATGTGGATCGTATGGACCGGAGAGGGAAATTTGTTTTTCCATGATATGGGCTCTAAATATAAACAGATCTATTAAGCCCATGTTTAGCATTGATTTCTCTGTTCTCAGATCTTTGCATCTTTTCCTCGAGGAGCTAAGACATGTGGAAATATACAGGGAAGGAAACGAGGATAAACAAAAGAAAGATACGCGCTCTTGGCCTTACATTCTGCTCTGGAATTCGCCCTTTGGCACTTTCTCTTTGTTTAGAAGGCCTTGCAGCCAGTGAAAATCCCTCAGACCTTCTGGGATCATCACATATTTATACCCTGCAGACAAATCAGACAAAACAGACAAATCTCCTCAATTAACTGCAGCATTTCACTTAAAAAGCTAATGTTGCTAAGAATAAACAAAACAGGTGCAGTTAGCATTAGCTTGCTCCTAAGGATTTTTAGTTATTAGCAGCTGTCTTAGCAAATAGTGTGTAATCTGGATCGTTCTACAGAACTGGTTCAAAATCAGAGCTGAAAACCCATTTCAGACTTTTAACTGAGTTGAACTTTAAACTGAAATTATGGTGCTTTGAGTGACTCTATACCTTAATTATGCTTATTTTATTAAAACTAATAACTGAACATTTTGTCACTATCAAAACAATCGTAACGCTACTGAAAATTTACCAAATGACTGTTTCGGTGGTGACAATTTTAGCTCATTTAGAGCAGAACTCTAAAATGCTAGGTACATGACTAGCAAACACAGCTTTGAACAGCTGTACACATATAAAATCATATTTTTTTATTAAAACACAAAATAGTGACTTAACTGCAGAAATATGTGTTTCGGTGGTTCAATTCAATTCATCAATTCTTGATGTTCAACACTGATTTTCAGACTTTGGGACACAAACAATGGGATCTAACTGCTCACCATGTGGCCATGAGGGACAGGGATGCAGTCTCACTTCCTGCTCTAAAATGCAGGGGTGTGGCTAAAATAAGCCTCCACCTACAGACTGAAACTCTTTGTAAACATAAATCCAAATATTTACTTCACTTACAAAAGTAAGCAATAAAAAGTAAGTAAGTATTGAAATAAATATTATTTTCACCAGTGTACATTTAGGGCTTAGGGTTTGGGACAGACACCTCCCAAGAAAAAGAACCCTGTAAATAAAGATTTCTTTCATTTATTCAGCTTATTATTATCTCCGTAAATACACTGAGTTTTAAATGTATCACAAGATCATTCTTTTTGAATATTTAATTGTTTTTTAAATCTCGTTTAAATGTGGGGTTGCAGTTGCAACTAATCGAGCAGAATGATCTATCTATATTTTTCCTATAGTCTTTTTGGTAACACTTTCTATGAATGTCACCTTTGTAAGCATCTATAAATGCATTCATAACATGTTATAATGCATTCATAAGACATTGGAAACATAGCTATAAATATTTATAAAAATGCATTATACATTATAGCCATGTTTATTATGCATTATGAATTGTTAACATAATACATTATAAGTACTGATCATGACAAATTATAAGAGCTCGTAAGTCATATTTGTCCACTCTAAGTAAAGTACAGGCTTCAAATGTCAGATTTTAAACTAGTGCTGCTATCAGTGTTTTACCCAATGTGGGAAAGTCAGTGTACACCACTGTTAGCTTACGCTCTCCAAGCTGGGACTGACTTCATTGGCACTGACATTATAACATGTTATTAACTCTATTTATAATGCATTATATTAACAATTCATAATGTGTAATAAACATGGCTATAAAGTGTAATTCAGTGTAATTCTTTTTTATAAATATTTATAACCATGTTTATATTGCCTTATGAATACATTATAACATGTTATAAATGTGTTTATAGATGCTTACAAATGCGACATTCATAGAAAGTGTTACCATCTTTTTTATCTTCCAATTCTCATTACACCCCATTCAAAAGACTTGCATTATCAGTTGGTTTGGATTTTGCAGGAACTCAGTTTATTATTTATTAAGAATGAATTAATAATTAATTAATACAATTCACATTCAAGTAAAGATATGATGATAGTAGTAGACAATTCTCTAACATCTTTGTTCACTCAAAGTCAAAGCTTCACCAAGCAAACAAGTTACAAAATGTTCTTCCAAATGTTGCGTGCAATTACACATTTCCACCAGAGGGGTCTTCAAATTCTCAAAACTAAAATAGTCCAGCTTTAAGGTCAACATGATCATAGTGGGCTTTGTTGTGCTCCGTGAGCAAATATTTAGACAGTGTATTTACATGACTCTGACTGTACTTATCCCTGTTTCTGCTAACATATAAAGAGAATGACCAATACCTTATCATTGGGGATTTTCTTAAAGCCATACTTCCTAAATACAGCAAGTGAGGCAACCAGCGAGTAGGCCGTATGAACGTAGACTGAAGTTTTGTTTCCCACGTCTTCTTCGTGGCCTTGAGTAACAGCACCATTCATCCTGCAGTACAGATAGAGTAAACAAGAATCCTGTAAAATGAGAAAAACTACTCATTTACAATAACTAACAAGCTGTAGCTGTACTTAAAGAATGCAGTGTTTCTGCTGTAAATTTACCTCAATATTGTAGAAATGGTTACATCATAATCAGAGTCATCAGACTCTTCTGTGTTTTTGTGGCTATTTTGTGCGCTTTTCCCTTTTCTGTGTTCCTTGCAGGTTTGTGATTGGCCAGACGGGGGCGCCGTCTTGTATAAAAGGTTACCAAGCTACCATCTCAAAAGACGTTCAGAGCTCTCTCTCCTCTGACGTGACCTGGAAGAGCACCTGTCCAGATCGGCACTCTCCGCTCCACTCTGCTTCGGGTCACTTGTGAGTTTTGTGAAACTCTTTGTGAACATTTGGGAAGTCGGGGATGAGTTCCTCTTTTGGCCTTTCCTCGTATTTTGTCTAGGGAGTTAGGGTCGTTTGTTATATTTTTGTTTCATATTCACGTTATATTTTATTGTTTAGGTTAGTTAGTTAGTCATCTTTAGTTGTGTCTGTTATTTTAGGCATATACTCATCCCTGAAGTCACTCCCATTTCAGTTTAGCACCTTTTTATAAAAATAAACAAGAAATTTTTTGGTTGACTAGTGTCCGGTGTTTGGTCTGGTGACAGGTCTGGGGAGAGTGCCCCCTCTCATTTTCTGTTATGGCCTGGCCCTAGAGTGAGAGTGGGCTCTTTCCCCAGACCAAAATAAGAGAGACTTCATATAAAGGATGGTGCCCCCATGTGGCCAATCACAAACCTACACATAAGGGAAGACTCAAGGGAAAGCACACAAAAGACAGACACACAGAAAAGCTACTAGGACCAGGGGTCGTAACAGTCTTTTGTCATTTTTCTTATTTATTTTTTTAATTATTTATTTATCAAAAGAGGCATATCACTCACCGAAACACATATGTATGGGCGTCTATCTCCTTGCCCTTCTTGGACCCGTGGAGGATCCCACCGTTAGCCACCACAGCACACCGGATACAGGAGTCATTCTCAACAAGCGGCAAGAGCTGAGTGACGTTAGGTTTGGGAATCAGATCCACTGCACTCTTTATTTCTTTAATCAACAAAGAACAAATCAGTGTTAAACATGGAAATAAAAGAAGAATGAACCCCTTCAAATCCAAAGCATATTACATTGTAATTCAGTATTATGCAGTATTATTATTATTTGGTAATTACATAGATGATGTAAATATGTACACATAACTAGCTAAAATTTTGAGTTTGAACTTTGAGTCTGACTTGGACTCAACTACTCAAAGTATTGATCTTCGCTCGACCTCAGTGTGTCCCAGAAGTCTAAGTGTTGACTCAGACTTGACTCTAGCAGTCTTGACTATGACACCAGTTATAACTTAAATGAAGATCTGATCATATCTTTGGTCAAACTTTAATCTTTCCTAATAAGTGTGTACAAATAAAATCAAAAGATTTCAAAAACTAGAAGACAGAATGAATGACTAGATAGATAATTATATACAGTAACACTTTATTTGAAGACTATTTATGAACAGCTCATGCCTATAATCATAAGATGACGTCAGATGTTTTATGAAGTAAATGACATATTATTGACATAATGGACCTAAAATAATAATGGACCTACAATACAATAACAGCCATTGGTTACATGTATACTTTTAGAAATGAAGGTTCTGTGTGGGACATTTTTCATTCATCAAGGTACAAAGAATGTAAATGTTCCCTCAAAGGTACAAGAATGGTTTTACGGTCCAGTTGTGAACCTTAAATAAGTTTTTCCAGGTGAAAAGTACGTATTTGTACCTTTTTATAACCGAATGTTTTAAAACAGAGCAATAAAATAAAAGCCTGGAGGCGAGACGGGGTGCGTGGAGTCATACAATTATGTTCCCTGACTAAAGGTACTGAGATGTAACCTTGAGGGTACCAAACCAGTGAAAACAAGGGGTACAGCCCCAGTGACAGTTTAATACCTTTATTTCTGACAGTGTATAACACTGTTATGAAGCCTCATTCACAAATAAAGTAGCTTATAAGGCTGAGGTCTAGTAGCATGCCACATATCCATTCAATATATTTCTACTTCATAAGTTAAAATACAGTTCAGTTTTTGAAACTTCTCATCAAAATAATAATAATAACAACTTTAATAACTCACAATATATTTTTATACTTTTTATATTATTTTTATATTTACTTATTTAGATATAAAAGCAAGTCATTTTGTACTATTGCAGTCAAGTAGAAATATAGACAAAGGACTGATAGAGTAATATTTTAGCAAGATTATTTATACTTTGACAATATTATTGAATAGGAATTATATATATATATATATATATATATATATATATATATATATATATATATGTGTGTGTGTGTGTGTGTGTGTGTGTGTGTGTGTGTGTGTGTGTGCGTGTGAGAAAACAAGTAGGAAAATTATCACATAGATTTGAGGGCATCAGAATCTTCCACAGAACTTCTATGTGGGGCTTTTAGCTAGGCCTCTGCTTCATAAGTTCTATTACATGTGAGTAATGCTTCATAACAGTGTTATAAATGGAACAATACAATGTCATCTTCTTTACAGCGTCATTTACTTTACTTAAGTCAATGTATGTCATCTTGCTGTTCATACATTCTCAAGTAATCCTCAATGCTTATGCATGTTATAAACTCCCTATGTCAGTAATCTTCAAATAGCATAACCAAATATTCAGTATAATGGTATAACATATAAACTTAAGCTTGATAAAAATGTACATACAGTACTGTGCAAAATTCAGAGACCAACTCCCATGTATTTTACTTCCAGTCTAAACAGCCATCAAGTACAAGTTATTCATTTTTCATTAGATGTAAAATAATCTGCATGCACAAAGAAGAGGAAAGTCAAAGGAAAAGTAAAAACAAGTAAAAAAAAAAGAGTCTCTAGAGCTAAAAGTAGAGTAAAAAGTAGAAAATGTAACTCTTAACAACCACCTGCAAGACTTGGTAGACCACCAAAACTGTCCCTATCAGATAAACAGCACTTATGACTGACCACCCCAGCGTCCAGGCATCAGCATTACTGGATTTGTTTAACCAACTTGTAAGACTGAACTTTGGAGGTGTGGAAAAAATATCACTGACGATTTCTTTGAAAAACTGAAATCTAATACTGTTTTTTATTAAATGTATGTTTTCTGCAAAAATAACTTATTTAACAATTGTTTTGATCACACAAGAACTGCTTAATAGTTAGCTTAGAGTACTTGAAAAAGCATACAGCACTGGCATAAGAGCTACTATATAGTTTATTCGTTCTCAGCTTATGGAAATGAATTAGAGGAACTCACTGTATAAGATTTCAGTTCAGTTTTATACTGTAGCTATTCTAATACAGATCTCTTTATTTGCAGATTTCTGGTGCAAACTGTAACCCACCCTTCTCAAACTTTCAATCTGCCAGTCCCACCAGTTTTTCAGGTGGCACTTACCGCTGTAGTTGTACTCCATGAAGCCAAAAGGGTTGTTGAAGTGAGCCAAGCGGTTCCATTCACTCAAGTTAAGGAGATTCTGGTACAGATACATCTGAATGTTTGGCATATACGCCTTCTGAAAGTCTGGATCTTTTGTTTTACGCAATGACTCTGCACAAACCTATAGAACACAAATATAACAGCTTATTGCAACGATTTATTGCCAGTTTAAACATCTATCTTGTAGCCACACCTGTTATCCATTTTATTAGAAACATCTTTCATATATGGTCTCTTACAAAAGTACCTGACCTGCAAGGCCAATTCTACGGCATATACGCTAAAGACATTTGGAGTTCAGATCAAAAGATGAATATGAAGCGACAGATCCGAATTTCAGCTTTTATTTTCTGATATTTACGTCTAGGTTTAAACCCAACCATTCTCCAAATGAGCAAAAGTATTGGAACATCTCAGGTTTCTTGTTGCTCAAGTGTTCCCTGCTACAGTGATGGTTTAAAAAGTTCATAGCTCTTACTGCCTGTGCTTAGTCTGAGCCCTGTTTTCAATTGTGAAGACTGCATTTGTTGTTAAAAATGATGAATCAACATAAAGACCCAGAGAGCTCTCTATGGGAGAAAAGCAAGCCATTTGGAAGCTGAGAAAATGGGGAAAATCAGAGCCATTGCACAAGCATTGGGCAAAGCCAATAGAACAATTTGGAATGTCTTAAAAAAAAAAAAGAAAAAAACAATTGGGGGTATTTGCACCCCCTAAAGTGTTGAACTATCCTACCGAGTTCATGAGTAATTATCAGGAATAATGTGTTATTACTAATACTTTATCATTAGTTAAGAGTATTTATGCCCTCTATATTAAAGCGATTAACTATAATCTAGAGTTCACATGAAAATACACTTTATAACTCATATAAAACCTTACCCTGAAACAAGTAAATGACAAGTGTACAAACAGTGATACACAATACGAACATTATATCACCGCTCCACATCTGCCTGCCACCGTAAATTGTAAAAACAGGTCTATCTATGTTCACCTCCTATGGCAGACCGTAAAGCAGGATCTCTAGCAGCAGCTCTGACTAATGCTGGTAGGTAATAAGTGTATTACAAACGGCTGTAGTTTGTAGACACGGGCATGTTGGGGGAATATGGTACAAGATGTTTTTTGCTGGAAAGACGGTAGAAAAGCCTGATATACAGCTTGATCATAATGATTTTAACTTTTTTTCAGCTCGATTGTGCTCTCAGCTCTCCATGCATATAAGTTAGTATTAGTTATTATTAGTTATCATATCAGTTAACCTTCTAATATTACTTTATTAGCTCAAATTAATGTATCTCTAACTTAGAGTTTCAAGTTTCATTATCTCTGATATTTATCTTGTTATGTGTGATGTGATCTGTGTGTCATTGTCATATGGATTTCAATGAATCTTCATAGTTTCTTCTTTTAATGTTAAGTTTTTATAAGGAAGATTTTTTTATATCGCTGTTGTCAGAAGAAAACCTTGTATCTCCATTATGGACATTTTTCAGTTTTTGACATAATTTGAAAATGCCTGTTGTCCTTTACATTTTATGGAAATTTCATGATGAATGGACTAAAAGAAATGACCCAAAATGACTTGGAAAAAAGTCTGGTTCCATTGACTTACATTAAAGGTAAAGAAGGTTTTTTCCTTCTCCTGTAAAGTTACCATTTTGGAGATATGAGGTTTTCTTCAGACAACAGAGATATTATTATTATTATTATTATTATTATTATTATTATTATTATTATTATTATTATTATTATTATTATATCAGTTAAGCTTACAGTTACTGTATTAATCAACCTTAGTTGCTCTTTAGCTTAGAGTTTAATTAAAATTCTACATATCTGATACTTATCTTTTCTTATATGTCGTGATCTTTGGGTCATTGTCATATGATTTCCTCATAGTTTCTTCTATTAATGTTTTTATCAGTAAAAGTGTTATATAGTCATAGTTTTGTTCTGATTATTATTATTATTATTATTATTATTATTATTATTATTATTATTATCAGTTAACCATATAGTTACTATATATTTAATCTTAGTTAATCTGTCAGTTCATTCTGTGAATGTGCTTTTTTGCAGGAATAACCAGTTCATTCTCATATTCATTCATTAGTAATGAAGCACAACTCATTATTCATTACAGATATTTACTATATTCATTCATGATCTGTTCATGCATAGTTACTAGATTACTAAGGAACTGTATTGTACAGTGTTACTCAATAACTTTTTAAAAGTAAACAAATCTTCTTATTGATTCATTCATCTTCTAAGTCGCTTATTGGATATTATATTATATATTATTATATATATAATAATATATAATATAATATGTATTATTATATATTATATATTATATTATATTGGAGCCTAACCCAGCATTGAGTGGAGGGCAGCAAACACCCTGGACAGGTCACCAGTCCATCACAGGGCAGGCGCACAGACATGTAGGGGCAATGTAGCATGTCCAGTTCACCTGATTGCACTGTGTCGGTGTTTACTATTATTTATATTTATTCTAATGTTATATACTGATTTACTGGGAAAAACGAACAGTAACAACAGTTTTCATGTGCATTGTACTCTGAATCAGATTATGTGATTAAATCTCACACTTACCGTCTGAACTGGCTCATCACTTCTCAAATACACATCATTTATTTCCCAGTATGGCATCCTCTTGAAATCTTTTTTGAACATGACTGGTATAGGTGTCAATTTACTGTAAGCTCCTGGCTTCATCGATTGTGAGATGGTTTGACCTTGATGTTCTAAGTTGGACTGCACAGTGTTTGTGCTGTTTTCTTTCGTTTTCATGGGCTTCGGTTCATTCTTATTAGGAACTGAGGGCTGGGAGTCTTTTGGTGCGTCCTCCACTTTTTTAACGAGCTCCAACTGTGAAGGAATCAAACTACCTGCTGTTTTGTTCTTAGTGTCTTTATTAGCTCTTTCTGGACTAGCTTGAATTCCGACTCTGGAGTCTCTCTGATCAGCGTTTGCTAAATTATGTTGAACTTTTGCTGCAGAACCATCCATAACAAGCATTTTCAGTGCTTCAGAATCTTCCTTGGCTTTCTCCATATCTGTAGTTAGTCTCCATGTCATGTTGCTCATCACCTGAGGAGCGTTTGTGTTGTTATCTATTATCGCAAATCCAATGCCAGGCATTCCGGAACAGCAAACCAGGATAGAACTGTTTCCTAGGCAGGGGGGGGGAAGAAACAAACACAAACACACATACATTATATGAGTTTAGCAAGGGTGAGGCTTCTCTCATGGGCTTATCTCCCAGGCTTATCTTCTCTCAGTGTTTATAGATGAGTTCAATGTGCATTTCAAACCAATAAAGTCTTGTAGTTTACACTCCAACTCCGTAACTTCTCAGAGTGTGGAAGAGTGCTCAGTGAATTGGGTTGATTTACAGGCCAACAATTTGGTGAAACAGTGTTTCAGGACTGTTAAATGCAACAAGTTTGCTTTCCATATAGTATTTATATTCTATTACATATCTGGGTTCAAATTGAAGCAAAGATGTTCTGGCATCTCTTGGTGGAGAGTCTATCTAAGAGGTGACATATGTCAATGGTTCTCAAACTGTATCTTGAGATTTAAATTTATTGGTTTATTTAACCAGCTTCATCCATAGCGTCCATTCGATGAACTGGGAAACAGAAATGTAAAGTAATTGGGAAAAACTCTTGATCCTTTAACTTCCATTCAAAGTTTTTTCCTTCTCCTGTGAAAACATTTTGGAGTTACGAGGTTCTGTCATGACAGCAGTGACAAACTAACATGTTGGCACAAAGTTCACAGAGTAGAAAAAGACCTCTTGTAGAAGACGACGAGTCTCTGTCAACATCTGACTTTGTACCAGATCTAGTGTTAGTGTCAGCTCTTCAGCTCATCTGAAGGGGCAGTCTCTGTTTCTCATCCATTATAAAAACCTACAGATATCCCTCCACTATTCTTGAGTCACATGTTTGAAATATGATTCTCTGCCTGCTGCCAAAACTGAACTTTTTAACACTCATGGCACTACTTATTAGGTTTTCTTGCTTTTTTGTGAACAGCATTTTATTCACAGCATTCAATTGTCATTAGATCACCATGTTGCCATGTTGGTAGGCAATCTGTAACTCTGACTGTGCTCTGATAGAGTTTGTCTCATCACCGTTACTGCAACTACAGCCCTGCAGGTGGATAAAAACCAAGCAAAATAGACCAGAATGACCACAAAAAACATGAAAAGATACGTAGATGCTTTTGATTCAGTCTCCAGAAAACACTACGAAGAGAAGATTAGCTAGATTGTTGGACTGGATCCGTACAACCTGCACATCTCTAGAGTTCAGAAAATTCCAGTGTTTAGTTGTTTTTTTTAATTAAAACTAATAAAAGTGGCTACCAAAACTGCCAAAGTTCTCAAACAATAAACTCATATGTACATATCAAGCTCAAGTTTTTTATACTCACCAGCTTCTTATTTGAATTTTCCACTCCACCTTAAAAGCCAACATCAGTTTACCGCAATAAATGCATTAATTTACCTAAATAAATGATTTAATCAAGAAATACCCCAAACTTTCGCATGGAGATGTTTAATGAGCAGCTAAAGTGCAGCACAGTGAAGCTATAATCATCAACTGGAGCTGTTAAACGCATCTCACTGGCTAATCTAACACCACGTCCCAAATCACACACTTCTGTACTTCTCCTACTGCACTAATAAATGCATTACTAATGGCATGTCTGTTATTTTTTGCATACTACTTAGAGTGTTTGGGATGTGAGAATAATAACACAGCAGGAATCTCAGCTTTCACTTATTATCACTACAGCAACAAATCAAATGAAATCAAGTCAGTACACTCAGCACACCTACAGCACTGCTGAAGGAACTTTGAAAGTTGCCTACCAAAATGGTGGCAGTGCGATTGCGATGTCATCAGAATACTATCGATAGGGTTTTACATAAATATTCATATTAACACATGTGCATGTACAAACACACACACACACACACACACACACACACACACACACACACACACACACATATGTATATATACACATAAAAATTCTCAGGGAACAGATTTAGAACCCCCACCCTACAATCTTTTCAAATATGGTCCTTGACAAACCACATAGCATTTGGCTAATTAGCCATAGTAGTTGGAGTTGCATTGTGGAGCTTTGAAGGATCAGAATGTCCAAAAAGATCTTTTCTTCAAAAGAACATTAGGCTGATGGGAATGCTTCAGGAATGTTTTCATAGAAGCTGTCAAACCTGCTATGAGAATCTTTCTTTGTAGAAGATTCAGGTTGATTACAGAGTCATCGCATAATAACAGAAGAGCCAGACACACTGGTAACCTTATATCTAATAGTTTAATAAATTGAATTGAAATAAATTCAATGAATAATTCCAAAACCTTGTGTGCCATGCACCCGTCCCCCAGGCCCCGATGACAGCCACAACAGCCGGTTTAAAAGTGAGGCCCAAATCCCAAACACCATCGAGGGACGTGAGTAACGGTAGGAGGGGGAAACGATGGCAACAGCCATGAGAGGCACGATTATGCCTTACATTCAATCCTGGTGGCCAAGCTTGGGAGGGTGACGGGGAGGCGGAGCAATGAGCTCTTTTTGCCTTTCGGTTCAGGCCTGAGCGCCTTTAAAAAGAGCAGAGAGGGACCAGAGAGAGAAGAGTGATGAGCAGCAGCAGCAACAGACTGACAAGCTGAAAAGGACTGAAAAGTCTAGTGTAGAAGCCACGGAGAGGTGGCCGGTTTCATGTTTGACTTCATGTTTGTTTGGAGTGAAAATACAGAATATGGCTGGTGCAGACGTTTCTCCTGCCTCCAGTGCCCTACCTGTGACCGGGGTAGGACATTGCGTGATACACCTTGCTACTACTGGACACCCCCCAAAAAAAGAAGAACAGTACCCACTAATACAAGATGGCATTTGCTTTTTGTCAGTACTTGGCTTCATCTGGAAGAGATGAAGAGAAGATTGTATACAATCTTGTAATGAATTAACTTCATTCCAAAATTATTCCAGATTCCCACTGGAAACTCTCCATCCCAGCCAGCAGTGGCTCTCAGCACACAGTCCTTAGCAAGTATAAGTCTATTATAAAGCAATGACACAAGACCCCCTGTTGAGCTACCTACAATAAAGAGCTCAACCAGAGGTTGGGTCTTTAATGAACGATCCCAGCGAACCTCATAAGACCATAGAGCACACATTTTAAGATCTCTTATTCTAAGGTCTCTTATTCAAGTTCTGAACAGAACGAATGCCATTTTTATCAAACATATCATCAAGAACATCAATATTCCTATTGGTCCATGGGTAGATTGTGAAAGGATTAGATCCAGTCAAGTTATTATGCTAAATAGGAGAGGACTTATAAAAACTGACTGGAAGGCCTAAATATCTGTGCACTTGTATCCATTTATTCAGTGAGTTATTTATTATGGATGCTAAATTAAGCAGAATCTGTGCTTGAGAGCTGAAAAAGGCATATCCTGAATTCGGTATGGTGTGATTATAGTCTCCTCTAAAGCTCGCCAGGGGGTTAAAGCAGAGGAGTTTAGCCATGTCCTCAAAAATCTCAACTGAAATGACCGAAAATATACCTTAAAGTTTGGAAAGTCAAGACCCTCTGAGGATTTAGGACATTGCAAGGTGGTGGTTTTTCTTGCTTTTTGCTTTCATGTGGTTAACTGAATGTCTGTTAATTAACTCCTACACTCACAAAAAAAGGTATGAAACTGTCACAGGGGCACATCTCAGTACCTTTAGTCAGGGAACATAATGGTACCATAATCCAATCCAATTTTATTGTTCTGTTTTAAAACATTAGATTATAAAAAAGGTACAAATACGTACTTTGCAACTGGAAAAATCTATTTAAGGTTCACAACTGGACATTAAAACCACTGTTGTACCTTTGAGGGAACATTTACATTGTTTGTACCTTGATAAATGAGAAATGTACCTGCACAAAACCTTTATTTATAACAGTGCACAGATTCTTGAATATGAAAATTAGTCCTGTTACCTGCAAAGTGACGGCACTATTGTTTGAGTTTATATACACTGCCTGACAAACATTTCAGGATGTGTATCGAAGACTAGTTGGTTTATTTATAGGTAAATATTAATACTTGTGTAAATATTAGAGAAGGTGTTAATGACAGTGCTGGCTTGAGAAAGAGGTCATGTAGTTATCGTCTTATTGGGAAGTTTCAGGTGTTTAAGCCACTTTTGGGCTAAAATAGTTTAAAATGTGTTTTTAATGACAGTTTGGAAAGGAAAACTGTCAAATCATCAATTTGGCAAAACCTGCTCTCCATATCAAGGAAGAAACACTGATGAATATAAAGATAAATACATAAAAGACTAACAAACAGTTGTTTTGTGCTTACAACACTTTTATGTCTTAAACTTCAAGAATGACCATGAGAAAATTTAGCATTCCAGGATAAGGCAAGGTGTGTCCAGACTTTAAGCGCTGTTAAGTAAATTATCTTCAACTGGACTAAACGTCTTTTAGAATTGAATGTTATTCTAGCAAATATTTTTTTCTCAGTCGTCTTTTCACTGAGTCTATATTGTTCATGTGTTTATTTGCAGGATACATACTCACTATTCAGCTTATCAATTTAGCAAATCAATCAGTACATGCTTCAGCATTTCACTGACCATTGACCTGTACACTGTAAATCTTTACTTCAGCTCTTCCTTTATTAAACTTAGTCACTGTGGTTTTTCCATTTAGTAATTAATGTACCTTAACGTACCTGAATCTGGTGGATCCTGTATACAGCACGTATATCCATGCAGTAAATACAATGTAAAGTACAACAACCACGGCCATATATGTCATAACCGCAGAACGTCTTGCCATCTTATCCGGAACTTCTTGTTTACTATCTGCACACAGGGAGTTTCTGTGTGTCTGTTAGTCTTATCAGAGTCCGTTGAGAGACAGAAGCTTGATAGGGGTGTGACAAAATCAACACTGCACTGAGAAAACAAGGGTCAAGTTCAGAGGAAAAAGACTGTAGACAGATCAGATCTGATAGCAAACACTAAATTAGCAGGAAGAGTCTATGTAGTGTGGACAGTACACTGTCATCAGGTCAGAATAGACACTGTGACTGAGTTCAGGTCAGGCTTCTCTCAGGGCCACACTTATCAATAAAGTTTATAAAGTTGATATAAATTCATATTTTATCAGTAATCTGAGTCTTTAGGATCTTCTAAGGCAATATTCTGTGTTTTTCTATTATTATTATTATTATTATTATTGCTGTTGTTTTTGCTATTATTATTATTATTATTATTATTATTATTATTATTATTATTACTTTCTTATGCATTTAAAATCACTGAAGGGAGATATTTCTGAGGAAGGAATGTGCTTCTATATAGAACCTTTTGGAAAATGGTTCTATTTAGCACCAAAAGGTGTTCTTGTATTGTTGCAAGCCTCACATCATTACTATAGCAGAACCCTTTTTGGTGCTATAGAACCAATAAAAAAAAGTTGTGTATAGAACCATCTACAGCATATTCTCCGTCAATCTGAGGAACCATTTCACAATGCAAAGATCCCTTTAATCATACAAAGGGTTCTTTGAGTGTTCATGGGTTCTATATAAAAACATTTTCTTTACTAAAGAACCCTTGAAGAATCATCATTTTTAAGAGTGTAGAATCATTTTCAAAAAAGGTTCTGTATAGAGCCATATACAACACATTCTCCATCAATCTGAATAACAATTTCACCAAATAGAATCTTTTTTAAGAGTGCAGAATCATTTTCAAAAAGGTTCTATAGAGAACCATGTACATCAATCTAAAGAACCATTTCACCATGCAAAGAACCATTTAAGCATGAAATAGTTCTATATAGAACCCATGGTCCTAGATAGAGCCATTGTCTTTACTGAAGAACCTTGAAGAATCATCATTTTTAAGAGTGTAGAATTATTTTCAAAAAGGTTCTGTATAGAACCATATACAACACATTCTCCATCAATCTGAAGAACCATTTCACCATGCAAAGAATCACTTAAGCGTGAATGGTTCTCTATAGATCTCATGGTCCTAAATAAAACCATTGCCTTTACTTAAGAACCCTTGAGGAACTATCTTTTTTTAAGTGTTGAATCACTCAAAAAGGTTCTGTATTGAACCATATACAACACGTTCTCCATCAATCTGAAGAACCATTTCATGATGCAAAGAACTCTTTTACCATGCAAAGGATTATTCATGGTTCTGTATAGAACTATTTTCTTTACTATTGAACCCTTAAAGAACCATCTTTTTTTTAAGAGTATAGAATTGTTTTCAAAAAGGTTCAGTATAGAACCATATACAACACGTTCTCCATCAATCTGAGGAAACATTTCACCATGCAAAGAACCACTTAAGCCTGAAATGGTCTAAATGGAACCATTGCCTTTACTAAAGAACCTTCAAAGAAGCATCTTTTTTAAGACTGTAGAATCATTTTCAAAAAGGTTCTGTATAGAACCATATACAACACATTCTCCATCGATCTGAAGAACAATTTCACCATGCAAAGAACCACTTAAGCATGAAATGGTTCTATATATATCTCATGGTCCTAAATAGAACCATTGTCTTTACTAAAGAACCCTTGAAGAACCATATTTTTTAATCTATTAACTTTGTGACACAGTGAGAGAACTCTCGCTTTAAGAACTCTTAATATTTAACCACATTAACATTTGATCAAATTAAGCTTTTTGCACAGAAAAACTTCGCAGAACCTGAAAGACACAAAAGAGCCTTCTTGTAGGAGCCAAAGCCGGTCGGAACCAGAATCAGGAGCTCTCTCTCCTCTGCTTGACAAATATAATCCATTTCTCGCACCTCCCCCAGCATGACTACTGAAGCGCTTAATGAACCCGCGCTCTCCTCATTTTGTCTTGGTGAGGGCACTCGGCTCTCGGCCCGCAGCGCTCTCTTCACAGCCTTGTCAAAAAGGTGCTTTCTGCAAATATGAAAAAGATCAATACTTACCTTCATGGCTATAATTCAAAACCCCCTTTCCTTTGATGTTGGGCCAGAGGAACCCGCATGTGGATTTTAAAAGTGCTGGGAAAGTGTGTAAAAAAATTTTGCTGACCCAAAAAGAAGCTGCTTCATGTGAGACATTTATGCAAATATGCAGCACATTTTGCAGTATAGACAGAAAATGTTACACACAACAAACCAAAGGACTGTCACACATTGAAATCTAGCCAGGCCACGATTCGTCTACACGGTCAGATGGTCATTTCCAGAACTTTCAGAAGGCCTAGAGTGACTTTTTTTCTTACAGAATTAGTTCCATCCATTGTAAATCAAAACATTACTGGTTAAGTCCACTGTCAGTTCCTTATTACACTGCAAAAAATGCTGAAAAAATCCTAACCAATGAGAGAGCTCACTTGACTGTATCTACCTACATACTACAGAGCACAAAAACATAGTAACACTTTACTGTAAGTTTTCTAAGGCTACATGACAGTTGTATAACCCTTTCATGACAGCTGACATAAAACTGCATAATCATTAACAAAGGCTTATTGCAATAAGCAGCAGTTGTCATAAAAGCTGCTTTTATTATTGTCAAAGTCAAGATGATATAAGACTTATGTGAAGAGAATTGAGAATCAATGAGAATTGAGATAACGTATTTAATCAGCATTTAAGCAATATTATATCTTTCTATGATCATTTTCTCCTATATCAGGGGTCAGCAACCCAAATCTTAGGAAGAGCTAGTTTGTCCTTTCAACAAAAATCAAACCAACTTGAGAGCCACAACATTTTATGTCCATTTTACCACTGCGTCTGTAAATATGCCTCAGTAGTACTAGTACAGGCTAAAAAATATAATATTAACAAACATGCAGAATTAATTTGCTCTGCTTTAAGCTTTAGCTCAGCTATAGCCACTTCCTTTTCTCGCATTCCGGCAGGAAACTTTTCCACAAAAGTAGAAAATCTTCCTGTAAAATGTCTCTCAACGTTCGACTTTTTATGAGGCTGAAGTTCCGTACCACCTTAAATGGTGCCTGAGTTGCCAGAATGTAACTGCTGGACGAGTTAAGGTGGAACGGAAGAATTCGAACAGGAAGCTGGTGAAGGAAAAGCTGACTTAAGCTTCGTGACATTTTAGTGTTTGATAGTTTCTCATTGCAGATTAAACATATCAGGAAACCTGCTGGAGTCCATTTGTCTCCATTATCGATGTTCATCTTAAATCTTTATCTGTGCTGTTTCGTTATCTACTAGCTAGGCAATCTGTGTTGCTATGGTGACCAGCAGTCTGCGCACCAACCTTCAGGGTTAAAGGGTGAATTAGCAGTTATTCATTAACTCCAGCGTTTGAGACCATTTATTGTTAAACTATGTTGAACGATCAGCAGAGCTTAATTTTAGTGAAAAAGAGGATTATAATATTTTTACACAAAAATGTCCACAACAAGGCAGTAAAAGAGCCGCATGTTGCTGACCCCTGTCCTACATGCTTATTTTGTCCGTTTCTGCTTAGCAGAATAGTCATTCTGTCAGGTCATCTTAGAATGCTGTGTATTTTTCCTATGCCTCTCTATCATGGGTACATAACCTTGAGACTTGGAGCAAGAATTGTTTGGGCCAGTTCAGAGAGATAATAATTTTTGTTTTTGTTTTGTTGCTCCTGCTTTCTGTTGGAGACGGAACCAAACCGGCGATCTGTGAACACTTCTGTTTGATGACTCCACAAGTCAGCAAAAGAAGGATAAAAGGAAAGACGTGACTCCATGAAGCAGTATTAAGTGCCAGAACGTCAGTAAAAAATTGGTGTACAAATTGCTCATTTTGCCTAAATATAATTATAAAATTAAAATATACATCAGCAAAAAACTCACTTTATTTAAGGATCAGGGAAAACAGAACTGTGTCATTACAGTCATAACATTAACACAGGGCTTCATAAAATCTTATCATAATAAAGATGCTCACTTTAGTAAAGGAGCAGAGAAAATATACACAACTGTGTCATAACAGAGTATCAGTATCAAAACCTTCACAGCAGAACTACAAAACAGCAGATTTACATTTCAGTTACCAAACAGTGACAAAGCATCCTTTTAGAGATACTAATCTTAGTTTGATTTCGCTCTGCATACTTTGTTAGCCCCCTTTTACCCTGTTCTTCAGTGGTCAGGACCCCCATTGACCCTCACAGAGCAGGTACTATTTAAAAAAAATTGTAAAAGGGGTAAAAGGGGGCTAACAAAGTATCAGAGAAACAGATGGACTACAGTCTGTAACTGTAGAACTACAAAGTGCACCTATATAGTAAGTGGAGCTGATAAAATGGACAATGCGTGTAGAAACAAGGAGGTGGTCATAATGTTATGTCTGATTGGTGTATTTACCGTTATGTGTTTGACAGCTGTCAAGATGTGCTGTCATTTCACCACAGAAAGTGTTTTGACACCTAATGTCTGCAAACCCTGTCACTTTGACACACGTTATGCCAACTTGACACTAAAGTTGTCAAAAACAGCTTTCATGACAACTGCCACTTACTGGAACAAGCCTTTATAAATGCTTATGTAGGTTTATGTCAGCTGTCATGAAAGGCTCATGTAATTGTCATGTCTCATGAACACAAACTACAGTAAAGTGATACCAAAAACCCTGATTGAAAAGTTTTCTGCGGGGTATTTAAAGAATTGAAGGCTTTTGTTTCCGAACAAGCCTTAACAATAAGAAATGAGTTTTACTGTAATACTTGCAGAGTTTAAATACAACAAGCTATGATTTTATTTAATAAAAATGAATTATAAATCACACGTTTCTAAAAAGAGTTTCTAAAAGGAAACTGCTTGGGGTTAGAAATGAAAATAGTCATTAGAGTTAATATGTAGCACATTCGGCAATGCACTTCTTTTAAAGGCGTATCTCCAAATCTCCAAATAAACAAGATAAAGGACTATCATGCAGGTTGACACAGAATTGAAATCCATCCAAAGCCAGTATAACAACTCAAAGCTGCATAACAGGGGGTCAGGTTTGACCTTGATTTGCTGACATACTTATTAGTTGCCCAACATTTCTGATAGTTTCACTTTCGACTGGTGAGTCACTTCTCGGCTCCATCAGTGCACTGCATGATGCTTCTCACGTAATCCTGTGTTTGTGT